CAAATCTTGATACATCTTTGTAGCTCCTGGATGAATACTCAACTTGCTTTTATGGCTCTCTTCAAGAATCACTTTCTTCATCTCTACATCATCAGAAATACAAATTTGGTTACGAAATCTCAACACACCTTGCGCATCTAACTTAAAATCATTATTCTCCGACTGATCAATCTCAACCATCGAATCTACCAGTTTCACATCCAACTTCTGAGATTCTCTAATACTATCTAGAAATTCATTATTAATCTTCAACATCCCCAACATAACACTTTGCGTGTCACCTTGCAAACTAAGCTCATATCCCTGAATTGTTTAATTAATTACAATTCTTTAACCATCATTGTCGACATATGCAGAGTCTTTCGACTCAACGCATCAGCTACCACATTCGCTTTTCTTGAATGATAATTCAAACCGAAATCATAATCCTTTAACAACTCCAACCATCTTCGTTGTCTCATATTCAATTCCTTCTAATCAAATAAATACTTTAAGCTCTTATGGTCACTAAACACTTCAAATCTAGAACCATAAAGATAATGCCTCTAAATTTTCCACACAAAAACAATTGCGGCAAGCTCTAAATCATGCGTAGGATAGTTCTTCTCATGAGTCCTCAACTGCCTTGACGCATAAGCAACTACCTTATCATTCTGCATAAGCACACCTCCTAAACTCATCTTAGAAGCATCACAATATACCACAAGATTCTCCTAGATTGGGTAACGTCAAAATCGGAGCCGACGTCAATCTCTTCTTCAACTCTGTAAAACTCTCTTCGCACTGAACATCCCACACAAAAGCTCTACCTTTACAAGTCAACTTAGTCAACGAAAGTGCCAACTTGGAAAAACCTTCAATAAACCTCCTATAATAACCAGCAAATCCCAAAAAGCTTATAATCTCAGTAGCTGACTTCGGAGTTTCTCATTGCAACACAGCATCAACCTTCGATGGATCTACAACAATGCCACTACCTGATATCACATGACCAAGAAAACTAACCTCCTTTAACCAGAATTCACACTTAGACAGTTTTGCATACAACTTCTTCTCTTTCAAAACTTTCAATACTACTCTTAAGTGTTTTGCATGCTCTTCTTCTGACTTAGAGTAAATCAAAATGTCATCAATGAACACCACCACAAACCGTCCAAATAAGTATGAAAGATATAATTCATATACTCCATGAATACTCCTGGCACATTGGTAACGCCGAAAGGCATCACCGAATACTCATAATGTCCATAACGCATTCTGAAAGTCGTCTTCTGGATATCTTCATCCTTCATCTTAATCTGATGGTAACCGACCTCAAATCAATCTTACTGAACACACGAGCATCCACCAATTGATCCATTAAGTCATCTATTCTTAGAAGCGGATACCTGTTCTTAATCGTCACTTTATTCAATTGTCTATAATCAACACAAAGCCTCATACTTCCATCTTTCTTCTTTACTAGCAACACTGGAGCTCCCCACTGATCGGGACTTTACTTATGTATCCAATGATTCGGACTGCAAGTGCACAGTCTTATCGTGTAGTTTTAAAAGATATCGAACCACATAAACTGATGAATCGATCTACCGTCTTCTATTGTTACTTCGCAAATCTAAAGCTAATGAATATTTGATTATGTTGTGGGGGAAACTAAATACTAAATTAAATTGGATTTTTAATAATCAATTAGCGTAATTACCAGTATGCAATAGTCGTACCTCAGGAACTAGCGACCAGTTGGGCGTCTTTATATTTTCAAAACAGCTTTCAGTAAAACTTATTTAGTTTAAAAACTCTCGTCTCACACTGTCGTTTTGTTGATCTAGGTTATGTTGTTAAGTCCTAACGTACGCTTCCGCCATCCAGCAAGAGTTAAAAACACTTTTTGAAAACTAAATAAAATCTTAATTAACTTTAAAGTGCTTCGGCTATATTTTAAGCCAATGCCTAATTACTACTGTCTAGTTAAAAGATCTCAAACTTCCGCTTTGTTGACCCTAACCTCTATTTGTTTTTTACTTCCGTAACAAAACAATTTAATGATTAAAAATAGTAATTTAGGCCAGAAAAGAAAGTTTCGTAGTAAAAAATAATCCCAACTAAGTTACTCGTTCCCTTGGTTGAGTGACTTCACATACCGGTATATGGATTCTAGCCTAACATAATATTAAACCAAATCATGGAATAATTTAAGAGACAAACAAAAATAAACATAATTAAATTGATTAAAAAGCAATAAGAATTTGTAAACATAAACCTGGTAATAACTCTGAAGACAGAAGCACTCCTGCACAAATTGTAGGCTTTGCTTCGATCGAAGAATATATTTAACAGTACAAAGAAAATAATGCTTGGAAAGGAATATAGAAATAACTGGGATATAAAATAATGCTGAAAAGAATATTCGCTCAAAGTAAATATAAAATCTCCAAAGTTTCTCGCACCAAAAAGCAGAACCCTTTCTACTGTGGTCTAAGGCTCTATTTATAAGTCTTGCGTGATAGTTGTTCTCGAAAATGTAGGAACAATTTATTTCCTCCTTTGAGAAATAATAGGGCCATTAATCTGTCATGTTCCTTGGTGCTTTGACTGAGTGGGTGAGAAAATGTAGGTAGTCGCTGGATCAACATTTGAATGCGTTTCTGTCCGTTGGATGAGAAGAAAGTGGGGTAAGTGGCTTGTGACGTTCGTCACATTCAAGTGACGATAGTCACTTGGTCTTTCTTGGCGCGTGACGTTCGACACGCCTCCTTGACGGTCGTCAAGGTCTTCTTCATGGTGGGCCACGTGCTCACATGTATAATGGGCTTGAACTCATTTCTTCCCCTTTGGCCTTTTTGCTAGTTTTGCACCTCTTTTTTCTTCATTTCTTCCAAAGTGTTCAGCTTAATGCATATCTGCAAAAATAGAAAAATACCTGCATAATACCTATAAATCAATTTAATTTAAACTAAAGTATGAGAAATATTTGGTGTATATCAAGCCAGAAATATCACATATTTGTGTGTCATCACCCATGGCGATACACTTGGTCTTACAAACTTCTTTTCAAGTAACTCTTCTAATTGCTTCTTTAACTCTGACAATTCAGATGCAGACATCATGTATGGTGCCATAGACACAGGTGTGGTACCAGGTACAAGATCAATAGCAAATTCAACTTCCCTCTCTGGCGGTACATCAAGAATTTCATCAGGGAAAACTTTAGGAAATTCACGCACCACTTGTAGTTCCTCAATTATAGCTTGAGTCTCGACAGATAGCAACGCCATCAACGAAAACATCTAAGCTTCTTCTTGCATCAGCTGTCGCAACTGTCTAGCAGACAACAGACTATCTTCCTCTTCTTCCGGAGTAGAAAACCTCACAGACTTGTTATAACAGTTAATATGAACATAGTTATGCTCTAACCAATTCATACCCAGAATTACATCCAACCCTCTTAAAGACAAACAAACCAAATCAACACAAAGTCTATGTTGAAAATCGACAAATGACATCTTAAACACACAAAAGAAGTAGTCACCGACCCCTTGGTTGGAGTATCGACGACCATCTCACCATTCAAAGAAGACAACATAAGACCCAATCTTTCAACACAATCAGCAGCAATAAAGCAATGAGTAGCACCAGTATCAATAATAGTAATTAAAGGAGTACTATTAATGAAACATGTACCTCTGATGAGTCTGTTCTCAGTAGCCGTCTGATCCTCAACTAAAGCGAACAATTTACCACTGGCTTCCGCCTTCTTCGGTTTCTGACACTGGCTACCAATGTGTCCCTCTTCGCCACAATTGAAACAAATCATTTCCTTATGCTTGCACTCAGATACAACATGTTCAGTCTTACCACAATAGAAACACCTCTTCACCTCAACAGCAAACACATTACTCTTATGTCTAGGTTTTCCATATTTGAAACAAACCACACTAGCAGGAGCATCTCCCCCACTAGTCCTCTGACCCTGAACAACTTTCTGTTTACCTTTACCAGCTGGGGCATCATAAGGCTTACCACGATTCTGTTGGTGCTTATCCCTCTTCTCACTGATAATCTTGTAATGAGCATTATTATCCTCTTCATAAATCCTGCAACTATCAACCAAATCAGCGAAGACACGAATCTTCTGGTATCCAACTGCCTTCTTGATTTCCAGGCGTAACCCATTCTCAAACTTGATGTACTTTGAAAACTCAGCATTTGCCTCACCGTAGTGCAGATAAAACTTAGCCAACTCAGTAAACTTTGCAGTATACTCAAGAAAATACTTCCTAAGAAATTCCCTATGGAACACAGCCCAAGTGACATTTTCACCTGCAGCTTCCAACCTCTGACAAGTCTCTAGCCACCAGTCACCAGCTTCGACTGCTAGCATATGCATTCCATCACACGGAAGATTCTCTCAATCTCCTTCAACCAATCCAACACTTCGTCGAGATCATACTTTCCCTTGAACGTAGGCGGATTCTCCCTCTGGAAAGTCGCCAAACTACGAGATCCAACATTCCCGTCAGTATTCGGTTGATTCTTCATCGCATGCGTCATTGCTTCTAAAGCAGCAGCAAGTGCAACATCATTCCTTCCAGCAAGTGCAGCAACAACGGTTAGAACTCAAATTAACAATACTCAATTGTTAAACAACCTACGACTCGACAACTTGGTCGAACAAACCAACTTTGTTCTGATACCAACTATGTAACACCTCAATTCTACCCGACAATTATAATGTAAATCAAAGTTATAAAACATATGCAACTGAATCAAGATGCCACAAATTCAACTTAAAAACCATTGCATTCAACATGGATACATAACACTTTAAAACTTTGGATGAACCAACAGCAAAATAAACTAATCTTTTAAACAACAACTTTAACAACTACGCAGCGGAATCATAATAACATTTTTATCCAACATTAAGCAAACTCTGAATAACAAGTACTTAACCACAATCATCTTAAAGTTCAACAATTGATATAATCAACAACTAAACATCAAGCATTCATCCCCTGAGTGTTACGTATCAGAGCAATGACACTGACTCGAACTATTAAAGGTAAACCGCCTTCACTCTGGATTACCTGCACGTTACCAACATCAGAGTAACATTCAAACAGAAGGGGTGAGATATCGAACATTATAATAGAACATGTGATAAATATCATATTAGAATCAGTTCATACAAAAATCATCACTTCACAACAATCATCACAACATGATATCAACAAAACACAACAATTAATTCATCAACACAACAGCTCAATCATACTACTTAGAATGCGACTCAATACTATGTGAATGCATGTGGTACCATTGGAGCAGAACTCCCATCTTAAAAATGGAGCAGAACTCCCATCATAAAAACTTGCCAATTAATAGAGGCATCAACAAGGCATAAGCCTTCTTCGCAGTTTGCCAATCCAGGCCATCACAGAGTATGCAAATGTATATGAATGCACTATCACATACTCACCACAGTCATCATCATCACAATAATCGTCATCATAAGGCATAAGCCCACATCACCATTATTACTAGTAAATAGAGGTAATTCATCATCATTTAAAACATCCCTGCAACTTCGCATCATCAACAAGAATTCACAACAACAATCATAACAACACAACAACATTGGCATAAGCCCTCAACTTAATCATAATTCAACATAAATCAGCATAGAACAACGTTGGCCATAGGCCTATCACATCAATCAACAGTTCAGTCATTAACATAACCAGATAACAACTTAATAATAATTCACACAACACAGTTAACGACCAAAACACAGCATATACGGACAGAAGGGATAGGGAACTATGTGCCCCTCGACATGCACAACAACTAAGACAACATACAACTAAATCATACTCCTCGACACGCACAGAGAAGAACAGAGTAACGACCAACCTATGCTCCTCAACACGTCTTGCAACCTAGTACTGCTCGACAATCCAACACATACCCCGACACGCCTCTCAGTCTAAAACGCCGCTCGGTACCTACTACTTCATTATCCTCCCCGGCCACTAATTCGGCCAACAACACAGTCACGATATAACGTCTTAACGACCACACTAGTATAAATCATAACTCCTGGCCAACTGCTCGGAATAACACAGTAACGGGCAACTATATTCCTATCGACAGAGTCGTCAACATACAAGACAGTCACACCGAACCTCCCTAAACGACCACTTCAACAATTATCAACTTTTCCTGCCAATCGCTTGGAATAACCTAACGTCCTAACGACCAGGAATCAACTATCCTAACATATCCATCGATTAACCGAGCAGTCACAGATACACCATACCTCTACAACACACAATCGGGCAACTCCGTGTAACATCTCCATTAACGAGTCATACAGTATTCTTCCCAACGACCACAACATGAATAAAACGGACAACTTTGATAGCAATTCAGAAACATCAATGCACATCATGTTTATAAACGGCCAATTTCCACATAATATGCATCATAAGTCCCATTATAAGGTCATAACCTCACCCTTACCTGGATTGAAGGTCGCTCAACCAAAGTTTCGGTCGTAATCCTTGATTTGCTCTTGCTCGACACCTGGCAACTTGCTCCTCGTCCGCGCAACTCTACCTGTCAGCGTACAAAATCCTTATTCTCTAACTAAAATAAATCCTTGTGTTAGCTTCTCCTTATTTATCAGTTCTTAATAGGCCTAACCTACACCCCCCACTTTACTACTTACAACCAATAGCTTAGGTCCAACATTATATATGTATATTCCCTTAATTCCAACAATATAATTATTATTAGTCAACTAATTAATTAATTAATAATAATCTTAACAACGTATCCCAATAGTTCTCAACACTTATTTCACAAATAATTCAAAAATAATAATTTAATTAAATAATTAATTAAATTACGGGCGTTACAACAAGGATATCTTAATATTATATCTCTTGAAGAGTGGAATAAAGCCAATCTGTTGAAATTACTGTGGAATTTGTCTGGAAAATCATATAGCCTTTGGATTAAATGGATCCATTATTATTATATGGAGGGATTGAACATTATGAACGTACTGATTTGAAGTTCTTGCTCTTGGATCCTAGAGGCTATATTGAAACAAAGAAGTGTAGCAATTCATAATAACACTTGGAGAAACATACTGCAACTTGCTAATTTCAAGACTATGATGTTGTATCATGTTCTTAAAGAGTAAAACCAGAATGTTGGTTGGAGGAAAATCTTTTATGGTTATCCGGTTGTCCACATGTGGAAACTTTACAACACCTGCTATTTACCAGTCAAACGACTGCTGCCATATAGAAACATATCTTGAGATGGTGTCAAATTCTGTGAAACCCGATTGCTTGGAATAAGAAATTACATTGTTTAATTGGTAAGGTCAGAGGTAAATGAGCTATGGAGAATATTCTTGAATGTACCTTTGTTGAAACTGTTTACGACCTACCATTCAAAACGGTGTTCCTTATTATTTTATTTAAAAAATGAAAAATGTATAACATAGAATAAGTTATAAATTATAAAAAATAATTAAAACTAATTTATACTTGAAACTGTATAAATTGTCACATCACACTCATAAAATAAACATTCACACTAGTTCATATTCTTCATTTATCTTCATATTCTCTTTTCTTCTCTATATTACTATGAGTTCAAAAGACAAAATTAAGTCACAACAACTCATAAAAGATAGTTCAGTAAGAATTCGAGAACTCTTTAAATATTTTATGTATCTCACGACTATTAATTTTGCTTTTCTTGAATCGTTTGTTGTTCCCCAATAAAAAATATTATTTAATAAATTTTCAGTTTAAAATTCAAGTTGAGTTTGTTCTCTGTTAACTTTTTTTTCTTCTTTAAGTATTATGATTTTGATATTGTTAAAAGTTCTTTGCTTTTTAAAGTTAGATTTAAAGTTATTATATTGTCGATATTGACATTAATTATATCATCTTTTATGATAAAGATACTTTCAACGAATTCATTTTTAATTGGATGGTTTATACTTTATTCTTGTTTTTCAATGTCCAATCTTATTTTAATCGAAAGTCTACTATAACAACCACCTGAAAGTTTTGTTGCGAGAGAGAGAAATATTTTCGAAAATTTAGTGCTAATTTCAATTGAAAATTGTGGTTGTGAGGTACTTTACTTCTTTAAAAGTTCAAAATAATTTTTAAGTTTTTGTAGAACATAATATTTTTGAGATATATGTATTGATTTAAGACTCGCATATATTTTATATTACAATGATATTTATCGTCATTGATAATAATGTTCCTTTTATAAAAGACAAAATATATTTCTTTTTATTTATGGTAATGACATGTATTTTAACATGTTTTATTATTTCTATAATCCATGTAATTATAAATGGATTAGATAAATAATAAAACACGTTAAAATGCATGTCATTACCATTAACAAAAAGATATATATTCTACCTATTATAAATCACACATCATAATCGATTACCAAAAGTATCATTGTAATGTAAAATACATACGAGTTTTAAGTCAATACATATATCTCAAAAATGTTATATTCTACAAACTTTTAAAAATTATTTTGAACTTTTAAAGAAGTAAAGTACCCTATAACCACGAAATCTTTTATTGAAACTATCACTAAAATTTTGAAAAAATTTCTCTGGTTGTTATAGTAGACTTTCGATTAAAATAAGATTGGACATTGAAAAACAAGAATAGAGTATAAACTACCCAATTAAAAATGAATTCGTTGAAATTATCTTTATCATAAAAGATGATATAATTAATGTCAATATCGACAATATAATAACTTTAAATCTAACTTTAAAAAACAAAGAACTTTTAACAATATCAAAATCATAATACTTAAAGAAGAAAAAAAAGTTAACAGAGAACAAACTCAACCTGAATTTTAAACTGAAAATTTCTTAAATAATATTTTTTATTGGGGAACAACAAACGATTCAAGAAAAGCAAAATTAATAGTCGTGAGATGCATCAAATATTTAAAGAGTTCTCGAATTCTTACTGAACTATCTTTTATGAGTTGTTGTGACTTAATTTTGTCTTTTGAACTCATAGTAATATAGAGAAGAAAAGAGAATACGAAGATAAATGAAGAATATGAATTAGTGTGAATGTTTATTTTATGAGTGTGATGTGACAATTTATACACCTTAAGTTTCAAGTATAAATTAGTTTTAATTATTTTTTATAATTTATAACTTATTCTATGTTATACATTTTTCATTTTTTAAATAAAATAATAAGGAACGTCGTTTTGAATGGCAGTTCGTGAGTTGTTCAATTACAATAAACACAACCAGGTAGACATCACAAGTACTCCTTAAAGAATTGTTTGGCTGCAGAAAAAGCATGCATGCATTGTACAAAACACAACCAGGTAGACATCACAAGTACTCCTTAAAGAACTGTTTGGCTGCAGAAAAAGCATGCATGCACTGTACAAAATTCATCGGCTTTCTATGACAATCCACTTCACCCTACTTTAATGGTTCAGGGATGGCATTGTCTAAATTTATATAACCACCTAGTTTCACCACTTTTTTACAAATTTTCTGGAATCATTTCAGAATATATATATATATATATATATATATATATATATATATATATATATATATATATATATATATATATATATATATATATATATATATATATATATATATACATATATATATATATATATATATAAGTAAAATTAGTGGACCAATTTTATCATCTTTCATTCTTTCTAATGTAGGAGTATCTCTACTTGCACAATATTTCTAGTATTAAAATCAGAAGAAAATATAGGAGAATGTTTAACCCCATTTCTATATAGACTTGCATCCGCCACTACGTTTTAAAGTTATCATATTTTTAACTAATCTTATTCACACATTTTAGTTTAATTACGTAACAAAAGATCATCCTATCATGGCACTCTCTCACCGTTCTTGTTTTATGTTTTCAAATAGATTACAATTTACTGCAATATACCACTTTGTTAACAAAAGCATCTTTGCAATCTTATATGTTTGAATTGACTTTTGGAAGACACAATTAATTCTAGAGATATAGAATTGATTCTGAATGATTTTAAAGTGTATGTTTTATCAAAAGTAGAATCGATTTTTCTTCCAGAATTGATTCTAATTGAAACTAGAATTTATAGCTTCTATATCCAGAATTGATTCAGGATGATTTTTACATTGAAATTTATTATTCAACTTATTTTTACATAAATATATCCAAACATAATTAAGTTAGAATCAATTTTATCCACTGCCCAATCCAAACACACCCTACATATTGCTGCTCCTAAAAGCAACAACACCCATGTATCACGGATTGCTTCTATCAAAGTTTTATATAATTATTTTGATCGCGTTTTATACTTTTGATCGATATAAGTGTTGCAACATTGATTATAGTCGTCAGAATGTAAATTAGTTATAATTTCATCTTTATCATATAATTTATAAATAATGGTATTAATATCAATATCTTTTAATATGGTTTTATCGTGGCAATTTTGTTTCTATAAGTGCTCCTAATTGCATCAACATTTTTTTATTTCAACACACAAGAGATCTATAATTTAGATATACTAATCTTGAACATAATTAGGATATTTACACTAAAAACAAAAGGTAAATTCATCATAGGTTTTTCTTCTTATTTTGATTTTATTATAGTTAAATTACATATTTTTTATAGAGGTGGAGTAAAAGAGTTTAGAGTAAAATTATAATTTAAAATGAAATTTTTTATAGAATGGTTTAGATGTGAAACTGATGGAACTTAAAAAAATTATAAGAACTCTAATAAGAAGATAAAGAAAGAAGGTGGTGAGTGAGTAAAACCTCAAGCATGTGCTAGATTATATCAATCCTTTGGAACTAAAGAAGGGGATAAAAAAGAATACGAAAATAGATAACTTTATTTATTATGCTTATTTCAAATTTAGATTACATTTGTGAAAAAATCATCTACCATTTTATTTGACACCTCTCCAAAAGCAATGTCATCCTCATAAATTGAGCTATCATAAGATTCACATCAATCTTTTTTACAAACATAGATTTGTCAATACCTAAGCGAACATAACAATGCTTAGTATGAAATTATGTGAGCCTCTCATACTAAGTTCTAGGAATTTGTTTCAGACAATATAAGTTTTTCTTAGCTTGTACACATGATTGAGTAATAGATCAATAAATCCTTTTTGTTGTTCAACAAAAATTTCGTCATTCAAATACTCGTTAAGGGAGATATTTTATGAGTGTGAGGTGTCTATTTATACACCAGTCTCAAGTTTGGATTTTCATAATATAATTATTTTGGAAGACAATAATATCCTCTAATGTTTTCATTTGGATAATTGTTTATTGTATTACAATTCATTCAAATTTCTGGTGTTCTATTCCTAAACAATTTGTTCACTGACTTAACTTTAATTAATTTTTTTTTAAAACTAAGTTAAATTTAAACATATAGCTAAAATAATATAATTTTTTTTTAATTTTTATCTCAAATTCAATATAGTTTGAAATAATAAATTATTCAACTATATGACATATTGAACATTATACTTGTATTTCAAAAATTGATAGTAAGATACAGATTAAATAATATTGTTTGCTTCATTTAAAAGATATTTTAGAATTTTGAATAAACTATCTGAATATAAATTTTATAAGTATTGTAAATAGTAGAAATAAAAAATATATATTTCAATTAAAATAAAAAATAATATATTTTTTAATTTATTTTATAATTTTTCAATTATATATATATATATATATATATATATATATATATATATGAAACTTTGGAAATACTCAAACAAATTCAGACAATAATATAAATTTCGATGATGATGGTTATGAAACAAATTAAAAATATTTTTCATTAAAATAAATACTTCTTTATGAATAACTCTGACAATATGGACTTATCCAAAAAAAAGAACAAATTTAAAAGAATATATATATATATATATATATATATATATATATATATATATATATATATATAGTATTAAAGTATATAATTTGAAAATGGTATAGCATTTAATTAGATAAATGTAATAAAAGTCTATAATAAATGAAATAAGTAGATAAATCATAAGTTATAGTGTTTGTAATTTAATATTTAAATAGATAAATTAAAGTGTAATAGTGTATAATAAATATAATAAGTAGATATAGTAATACGTAAGAATAATGATAAATTGTATACGTGTAATAGGTATAATAATAGATGTGTTAATAATATAGAAATGATTTTTAATCCTTTGATAACGTAGATAAGTCATCTTTTATGATAATAATTACTCCCTCCGGTCTCATTTATAAGAAAAAATTAACTTTTTATATACATTGAATAAGTAATGTATTTGGACAATATATTGTCCAAATACATTACTTATTTAATGTATTTAAAAAGTTAATTTTTTCTTATAGATGAGACCGGAGGGAGTATGATGTAAAATGTAGAGATTTGTTAAAAGAGTTAAGTCTTCTTTAAATTTTAAGAAAGAAGGATATGTAGTCCTATTACTATTTTTAATATGTAAACTAATGAATTCTAATTTTTTTTCTATATCTGAAATAATTCTTCTATATTCTTTAAATTTGTTCTTTCTTTGTGTAAGTCTATATTGTTATTCGCAAGGAAGTATTTATTTGATGAAGAATATTTTTAATTTATTTCATAACCATCATCATTGAAATTTATATCATTATCTGAATTTGTTTGTGTATTTTCAAAGTTTTTAAAATTTATAATACATCTATGGTCAATTTTTTGGTGATTTATCATTCTATAATGAACCTGAGAATGATTTCCATAAAATGTCCTTCAAAACTATCTAAGTAATAAGAATTAGAGGTAAAAGTGTTTAATTCATGAATTAGACACCTTAATTCATGTTCTTCCATATTTTTTTTCTTTTTTTTTCATGAAAATGAAATTTTTTTAATTTTTTCAATATAATCTTGATTAAATCCGGATAAGAAAATATTTGGAGTAAATAAGTTATCTTTGTATCAAAATTTTGGATAAAAATTAATTCTGATAATTTTTTGTCTGAATTAGATTCTAAATAATCAATTCCAAAATAATTTGAAAATTACCTCTGAATTGTAAAATTTGAATTTTCTTTGTTTGGTTCCATATTAAAATTATTCAAAAATATATTTTGTGAAAATATTTGATTTTAAATCTTATTTCTCCTTCCTGTTGCTAGTTTTTTCGAGTATTATGATTTCTTAGTTGTTTTATCTTAATAATTTTAGCTTATTTTTATGATTATTGAATAGTCCATGTTTAAGCTATAACCTCACTTTTTCATACCTCACTACCACAAAGTTCTTCCAGAGACTTCTCTGCGTTTATGACCTAAGATATAAGAATCTCCTCCTAGCGGTATTATTTTCCCCTCTTGGTACTTACTTTCCTAACAGATTCTTTTTTAGATTAATGATCACATTTAGCTCAAGCAGGATTTACGTCTTTTGATTGTGGGTTAAACATAGATTAACAATAATTATAAACATAAACATAGATTATTAAGATTAAGCTACTAAAAAATCATACCTAGAAACAATAAGGAAGTAGGAATAAGGAATTTAATGTGAAAGTGGAAATTTATAGTAAGGTGTATTGAAAAGCATATTTTAGTTACGTGTGTTTACAAAAATGATAAGAACTTCCTTTTATAGGTGAAGGGGAAGTCTCTAGAAACAATACATTATTGTCTTTACATTACGAAAAGATAAAACACTATTTGCTAACCTTAACTAAATCACTATTTGTAAACAAAAAACTTTACCGAACTTTGCCTATCAATAACGTACATGATAAAAAGTTGAAAGGGACATGCCCCCTTTCATAGACTTGTCAGTCAGGATTACCCTTACATATCTTAGAAGAGTCAAGTAACTATTCCCTTAATGCTTGTCTTTTTCAGCCTTTTTCTTGTCGACAACAATTTCTTTAATTTTACGTCATTAGTGATATATCTTTTTTTGCAATTTACACAATTAATAGATTATCTAGTGAAGATTATGATGATCCTGATTTTTTCCCCTAAGACGTACTTCTTCTCCTGTATGCCTCTACCAATTTTGGCCTTGAATGTTTGACTTCGAAACGGATCGCGATGTGACACTTTCTTTAGGTTTACGCGGTGTGACAATACCATGGCATGATGAGATGAGATTACTAGATCACACAATAAAGGCGTCGAACTTACGACGTAAAACAAGTATGTTTTGTTTGTATTCACTTATGTATGTGTTGACTTGTATTTTATCAAGTTGAAATTGAACCTGTTTTAAATTCTCAAATTTTCACTTTTTAACTTGTTAATTCACTTTCGCCCGTTAATTTTATTATATCAATTTGTGTTTTTCCGCAAACTTGTCGTGTTTAGCTTATGGAAGTGTTTTTGTATGTTGTAAATATTGTACATCTGTTTGAGATTGTGTAGGTGAATGTGGAGGCTGCATTGTTGTCTACTGGACTAGTTTTTACTCTTCTGGTGTAGCGCGCTTAACGCGCTTAACCGCGCTTAACGCACCCTGCTGTGCAGAGACAGTGATTTTTTTTTAATATTTCGCTTGTTTATTTTCTTTTTTTCCCACTTCCACCTAGACTTTAAATAATAAATAGTATTAGTATAAATAATTCTTTTATTTCATGTTGAAATGAACACTCACGGCATGAAAACAAAACACTAACCAAAATCTTTATATCTATTTTAAGTATTCAAAATAAAACAGGGCATTTGATTAATTAGTTGTTAAACCTAGTTAGTTCAAAAACATGAGATCAAAATACATTTAAACAAAAGATGAAACTTACTAGTATCCATCTCTTAGACCACCAAACTTCTCTTGACCAGCAGTATCCATGCAGTAGAAATGGATATTTCCACAGTTTGTGAAGAAATCCAATGGATGCACTTCCACACCAATAGTTGCTATACACAATCAAATCAAATCATCTAATCAGCCACTTAACTAAGCACGTATTAATCAAGTAAAACAAGCTTGCATGCATAAAACCCTAAGTTAATTTAAAAATGAATCTTACGTTCATATTTGAAGGTGCGGTTAAATAAACGCCACAAGAAATTAAACTAATTTAATTCAGAAATCTTGAAATCTGATCTAACAGTATGAAATCATGAAAACAAACAAAAATTCAGAACACGTATGAGAAAAGTCAAAAACCAGAGTTTTTAATAATATGTCATAATAAGGAAATGCCAAATCAATACTATTATAGTATTAACAAACACATAAAATATGATAAACAAATAAATCAAATTATATAACTATAACTATTAATCATGATATAAATAAAAGTAAAACCGATAGGTATATGAATCATAAAGTAGAAAAGTATATACAAACAAAGTATATACAAAAAATTGTTGGGCAATATGGGTCATATAAAGCTTTCTAAGCTTAGCATTTCCATCAATACTGCAGTATAAACCTGCTCAGAGCCCAATGCAATAATCATCATTCACCAAAAACACAGCATAACACAAATCCTTTAGACTCTTCGCAACTTGAGCAAATCTGAATCTTCAACAGCAAACACTTTTGAAAACAATGGCTGCTGGTATAATAAATTTCATTGAAATTAGCACACAACTTAATTATCACAATTGAGAAATTGAAATTTTCAGTAACAAACAGAAACAGATAGTATCCAAAGCCCTCAAATCTCATAGCTTATAGAATCATTTATGGTTGTCATCACTATATTCATTCACAACCTTCTTGAATTCCTACACACACAAACACAAACACACACAAGAACACCCAGAGGGAGAAACTAAGAGAGAGACGGAAAGAGAAAAGAGACAAAAATGCAAATAGGTTGTGAATAAAACCGTGTAACCGTTCAATAGCATATTGATACATCACTGGGCATAATAACAAAACCACAATCATCATAACAAAAAAAAACGTAATTTGGACGACAATTCCATGTTAAACAAAAACAAAAATTTAGCAAGTTAACTTCAAATATTAAGAACTTCACGAAAACCAAATCAAACAGTTTGGAACAAGCTGGTGCAATAATAGTTTAGGTTACAGAATTTACAAAACCTAACAAATCCATCGTACAACAGGACACAACAATCCCACCAGTATCTCTAGTGATGTTCACAAAACACAAACAAGCTAACAATATCATATATCTACACTTACTGCACATCCAATAGCAAAGTGAAATAGTTATATAGCAACAAATGAAGCTTTTGTTTTAGTGTTCGGCTATATTCAGAAAAGATAAAACTGATTATTGCTTACCTCAATCGAACGAAGTCCCCGAGTAAAACAACGATGTTTTGCATTAGTTGCTTTGGAGTCCCATCCTCTATATTCATAAAAGCTAGTTGGTGTATATACACATATTGGAACTTTTTGAAAGGAGGACTCTAATGGAACATTCCCGCAAGTAACCAACCACCTTCAAAAGTTATAACATATCAATGCTTTATGCATATATTACATACGCTTAATTAATCATACTATACATGTATACGTCAATACTAAATTACATACCCTAGAAACCTTCAAAAATTGTCCATTCTTGGCAGCAGATAGATTCCCTATGTGACATAAGCATATCGAGCAGACGCATTTTACATAATCGGTCTGGAGTGCGAAACAGCACCTCCAAACGATCCAGTCCTTATAGGTGCATTATTTAATGGACCTGATTTTCTAGATTTAGAGCCATCCATAGGTATATCAAACATTTTCCCTAACTCTCCCGACCTCTTGATGTCACCGCCAGTATAAGGCATCGCAGCCGAGCTCATTGTTGGAGCCTTTTCTTTCGGCTGTTCAGCCCAAACAATGTAGTTCCCTACGCCGATGCAGTACTCAAAGAAACCAGATTAAAACTGCAAATAAAACTATAAGAATCTCAATGTTGGGTTTGATTATTAAACATCAAAGAGTTACTTAATTATTTAATTTTGGTTTATCAAACACAAAAATACAAAAGAAGAATATGAATTATAATTGAAGTTACAACAAAATCCACAAATAATACAAGTAGAATCCAAAGGTAACTTAAAAACAAAATCTACTAAATTTTAGTTATTAAGTGTGTTTAAAGAAACCCTTAACTATAACTGAGTAACAACAGTGATGTTTAACCATCCAAAGCAAAATTGAAGACATGGTTAGATCTAAAGGAAAGAGAAATTTTGAAGTGATGGATCTTCTTCAAAATGCAAACTGTTAAGAGATCCATTCATACATCATTATTGAGTCAAAATTTATATTAAAAAAAAAATCACAAAATCAAAAATGTTAACACAAATTACAATGTACAAAACAGAAATCACAGTCGTCGCCTACGTCAGAAAACATGAACTCAAAATGTGAATCAAAAGACCGATTTTCTGAATAATAAATCAAACCTTGATACACCAGCCAGCCCGCATGTCGTCGTAGCGTCTAATAGGCTAACCATCACCCATGAGATTGAAGTACATTGCTGGTCCAATGAGCTCCCGATCAAAAACCAAGTTCATTCCACATATGGGAAACAAAGATCCTTTAGGAATGGTCAGAATAGCATCGACATACCTTCAAAATAACAATCACAAATACTCAGAATCAAAATTGCTGAATTATTAAAATGTTGATGAGTACAAGTGAAAACCAAGTCAAAATTATTGAATTATTAAAAAGAAGAGTGTTGGGACATTTCGTCGAACACCTTGCGAGCGAGGACAAAATCTACAGCTTTCTTCATTTCAACCGGTAAGCACTCATCCAATATACTCATTGAGTCGAAACCTCCAAACTCGAACCAAAACAGAACTGAGTAGCAACTCGATTCTGAACAGAAAACCTTCGCGAACACCTAACATAACCTTGAAGCTCAAATAGAACCGCGAAACCGAAATTGAAACAATTTGAAATCAAAAACTGAATCCGAATGTTGGTTTTTTGTTTGAGCGTATTATTGTTGTTGTTACGAGAGGAAGATGAGAGACAAAAACGGAAGATCAAAAGATGCATTTACCTGAGTTAAAAGGGGGAAAAGTTCAAGCTAGAGTTTAGAGATTCGATCGGTGGTTGCGAGAGTTTAGATCGTTGCGAAGAAGACTCGTCGTGGTGGAACGGGTGATGGCTTTGTCAACTCCAAACGTGACCGATGCTCGAGCGATTCCGCAATTTCCCTTTTACGAGGGTTTTGTTTTGAGAGAACTCTAAACGTTTGTTAGGTTAATGGTCATTTTTCACATTAAGTCATAATATATTTTGGGTTCAACTCTTGCTTATGATATTTTTACCATATTTGTTTTTCAGGTAGAGAAATCTCATGTGAAGTAATAAGGCATATATTGAATAATGAGTTTCTGTCATGAAGCAAATTATACATAGTTTTTGTTTCAGAGAAATATCAATTTAAGGTATTCTTCTAGTGGTAGTAGATTCTTTGGTCCAATATGAGATAGATAGTGGGTTTGATTTCTATCGTGGAAATTTTACCATTTTTTTTCCTTCAAATTTTTAATACTTTTTTTATTTTATTTTTTAAAATTTGCATACCTTCAATTAAAGTACAAATTGAAGAATTACATATTAAACTATATTCTTATATAAGTTTATATTTTTAATCATTTTAAAATAGATTGAAATTGAAATTAAAATTAAAATTAAAAACTAATTAAATAACACCATAAAAGTAATTAATAAATTTTAAAAAAATAAGAATTAAAAATTTCAGCCTAATTTTATAAATATCAACAATTATGAAATATATAAAAATATGTATTAAATAAGACCAAAAAAAAATGATACACTAATAGTGTAAATTAATTTTATACATATTTTTATTAAACTCATGAGAATAATATGTACTAAAACTTTCTTTAAAAAATTAAGTTTGAATTGTAACTTAAAATATAAAAAACAAATTTCTTTGTTAAATTAAAAAAAAAATACTAATATTCTTAGAAAACATTTAAATGTATTTAAATATTTTGCAAAAAAACTTTTTTTAAGAAAAATATTTTACAATATTCTTTGATTTTAAAAAAACAAAACAAAATAAAATCAGAAGCAAAATCGACTGAAAGAATTCCTACAAAATTACTTACGGATTATTAAATTCTCAAAATATTATTTTCACAGAAATATTATTCTCAAAATAATAGTTTTGTAGTAAATTTCGCAGGTATTTCTGCAAAAACTTGTTTTTTAAGAAATTTTACTTTATTTACTAAATTTGCAGGAAACTCCGCAGGTATACCTGCGGCATATTTTCCAAAGAAAGTTTCGTAGGTGAACTGGTTATTTCTAATATTGGTTTATGATATTTTAAATTTGATAAACTAGATGTTAATAGTTTTTGACCATCTAAATCAAAAGAAATTTTCACAAATATATAATATTTTTCTAATTTAAATACTAAACTACCATTATTTTCTTCATAAATATCAAAATATAATCTTTTCAAACAAAAAATAATATTTTATAGTACATTCACCCATTGATTGGGCGTATATATTTTTATTTTATTTTATTTTTCATTTAGAAAAACTGAGTTCTTTGAAATTTTCTACGGATTTTATTACAAAATTTCTTTCTTGTTGAATTTCTTGCAAATTTACTTACGGATTTTAGTAAAAGCGTATTTTAAAAAAAATCATATATTTGACAAATACGCGGATAATTTTCTAAGAATGTTATTTCACGAGAAATTTAAGAGGTAAAATATGTAAAAAAATTCACAGATAATTAACAAATAATTTTTAAAAGATTGCACATCTGCCAATATTTTGTATACTTCCGCCCATTAAATAGACAGAACCTCTTTACCAATAACCATTTTTTAAAACTATGATATATTAATATATATTAATGAATTGAATGTTAATTTAGTATTTTATTTCTAAAAAGACAGTAAAAAAAATTTCGAATAAAAAATCTGGTCACATCAATCAACTCTAAATTTTTGTGTTTCATTCTAGAGATAATAAGTTAGAATTATTTATAAATAATAAAAAATAAAAATAAAAATTTCTTATTGATTAACTGCTATTACTATTTTTCTTTGATTAACTGCTCCGGTCCAAATTAAATTATTTACATTTATAGACACTTTATTTGATAATGTCTTACAAAATTATAAATTAATTAAAATATTTAAACTAATTGTTGTGTAAAAAAACTAATTAAATTACATATTAATATTATTTATTATATAAGGATTAGAATAATTAAATTACATATTAATACTATTTATTAAAAAATGATTAGTATAAATTCTAGATATTTTAATTTTAAATTAGTTATTCACATATAATTCTAAATTAACTTAAATTTTTAAAATAATTATTAGAATTAATAAAAATCTAAATGATAACTAAAATAAATTGTAAAAAAACCTATGCAATAATAAATAAATAAAAGTATTATAAATTTTAAATTAATATAATTTTATAAAATAAATTGTAAACTCAATTTTTATCAGTTAATATAACCTTACTCTTAAAATTCAAAAAATAATTGCAAACTCTGTTTACTTGAGCTGACGTGTGAAAAAAATTTGACACAAGTAATAGAAGACTTTAATTTTAATTGCTAGACATCATCTTTCTGCCTAGGGATATTATTATATTCACCTCACCAAAACTGCATTAAAGATTAATTGATGAAGATGTGACATTAGAGCTTAAAATGAGGAAACAAAAAAGAACAAAGTGAAAAGAAAAACTGAGATAATCCTAAAAAAGAGAGATTCTTTGGTGCGTCAGGTTACTTGCTAGTGATACTCTTTCGATATAGTTGTGATTTTGATCTAGCTGGATTAATATTTTAGACTAAATCAAATGTAATTTTAATATATAATTAAATGTGTTATAATTATAAATATTAAATGTGTTTTAATTATAAATAACAAAATATTCAAACTATCCTCAAAATTTGATTTTTTTTTTTTAAATAAACACTTTTTTCAAATAGCCACTTTCCGCAATTACATTAATTTTTATCTAGTTTGACCTGATACTATCATCTGCTCTTCCTTCATTACGATACATTCTCTCATGTATATTGAACAAACCTTTAATATGTTCAAATATTGTAACAACGTGTGTGTTATCTTTGCAGTTTCCTCTTGAATAAATTTCATAGAGATTTCGCTAAACAACTGCCCTAATTGCAATATTGATCTCCATTTTGAAACCCTAGTCTCCAACAGTGACCCCAACCTAATGTGTTGCTCTGGCCAATGCGTTTATTTGTAGGTTTTTGGTCATGTGGTCATGTGGCTCCATCGTTGATAATTGACAAACGCACTGGTCCACTTCTCTACTAGAGTATTATTGAACCGTCTTAAGCATCTGCATTTGTCAATCTTATCTCTTTGCGGTAGTGTTAGGACGATGGTTCTGTTAAGGCATACCTTACATTCACAATTTTTTTCCGAAGTGTCTTATCTTTCATCTCCTGCATTAAGTTTTGTTCAATATGTCTAATGCAATAGACATGTGTAGAAAGGGATCTTGCCAAGCGTTATCAGGATATTGTATGCACTATCAATAGATGGATGGATGGATGTCTGAAATCAAACATAGGTTAGATTGTAGAGCAATGTGTAATCAAAATGCTTGAGAAAGAAACTCAATCCACCAGCAGTTTCACCTTCAACCAGAGCGAAGGTAATTGAAAAAATATTATTGTTGTCATCTTGTGCCACTGCCAAGAGTAATATTCCTTTATATTTTTCGTACAATCATTTTCCATCAATTTGTATAGTAGATTTTCATAATGCAAAACCTTTAATGCATGGTTC